CTATATATATATATATATATAGCCTCCTACTGATTGTTATTTAACCATAACCTAGGATTGACGAAATTACTATAGTCAGCCTTTTCCTCCATGTTCATGAAGCTGGAGTTTAACACAATTGCTATAGCAAATTTCGAACTACTTATTAGTTATAATTCATCAGGTTAGAGTAATTTAGTTAGTCTTATATTACTTACTAAGGTTGGGATCTATCAGATAGACTGTTTATTATTTTAATCTAACCGGAGACAGGGAGCAGTCCGTTAGTGTAGTTACTCCTTTATTGGGTAAAAGTTTGTTTGTTTGTTTTTGAATTTCGCGCAAAGCTACACGAGGGCTATCTGCACTAGCCGTCCCTAATTTAGCAGTGTAAGACTAGAGGGAAGGCAGCTAGTCATCACCACCCACCGCCAACTCTTGGGCTACTCTTTTACCAACGAATAGTGGGATTGACCGTCACATTATAACGCCCCCACGGCTGAAAGGGCGAGCATGTTTGGTGGGACGGGGATTCGAACCCACGACCTTCAGATTGCGAGTCGAACGTCCAAACCACCTGGCCATGCCGGCCTGGGTAAAAGTGAAGATGCAGTTGGCATCTATTAAATCAATGAAGTTAATCTCTGACTTTTGTTACATAACCTGAAGTTGGCGTTTATTAGATAACCTTGGTTAATCTTTCACTTTTGTTACTTAACTTGAAGTTACCGTTTATTAGATCAATGTAGTAAATTTTTCACTTTTGTTTGTTTGTTTTGAATTTCGCGCAAAGCTACACGAGGGCTATCTGCGCTAGCCATCCCTAATTTAGCAGTGTAAGACTAGAGGGAAGGCAGCTAGTCATCACCACCCACCGCCAACTCTTGGGCTACTCTTTTACCAACGAATAGTGGGATTGACGGTCACATTATAACACCCTCACGGCTGATAGGGCGAGCATGTTTGATGGGACTGGGATTCGAACCCGCAACCCTCAGATTGCGAGTCGAGCGCCGTGCCGGGCCTTCACTTTTGTTACTTAACCTGAAGTTACCGTTTATCCGATCAATGTAGTTAATCTTTCACTTTTGTTACTTAACCTGAAGTTACCGTTTATTAGAGCAATGCAGTTAATCTTTCACTTTTGTTACTTAACCTGGTCGTAACTGTCTTTTACATACCTATTATGCTTGTAATGGCAACCGTTTCGTTCTAAAGCATATAAGAATTCCTTACAAATCAAATTATAATTAGTCTTTTAGTTATTTAATAAGTTCGTGAGCCTTAGTCTAAACAAGAATTTTATTGAGAGATTAATGATAATAATGAAGTATGATTAACTATATTTAACAGAGGGAAAAATTACTATGGATGATAGATTTAAAAAGAACAACAACACTTTAATGATTTCAATAAAAAAAAGTTGTTGTTTTTTATTAGAACACTGAAAAAATAAATTAAAATAATTCAACCCGTTCATTAAAACGAAGGATTTCTTTGGAATAACAATAATAATAATAATAATACTTTCGATTAATTCAGAACCTCAATAAAAGTTGAAGAATAGTCTCATTGGGAGTTTGTTAAAAATAAGAGAAACATGGTTCAGTAATTTCTATAAGGTGAAGGAACTACAGTTGTCGGATAAAGGGACACTTAAGAAAGTTTTAGCATAATCCAAGCACTTATTGGATAAATGGATATTTAAGAAAGGTTTAGTATAATCCAAGTACTTCAGTGGATAAATGGATACTTTAGAAAGGTTTAGCATAATCCAAGTACTTCAGTGGATAAATGGATACTTAAGAGCGGTTTAGGATAATCCAAGTACTTAAGAAAGGTTTAGGATAATCCAAGTACTTCAGTGGATAAATGGATACTTAAGAGCGGTTTAGGATAATCCAAGTACTTAAGAAAGGTTTAGGATAATCCAAGTACTTCAGTGGATAAATGGATACTTAAGAAAGGTTTAGGATAATCCAAGAACTTCAGTGAATAGAAGTATTTACATGAAAGACTACTGTATATATTTCAGAAAAGCTCAGTAGTTCCAATAAGGGAAAACATTTGCATTTATGGCAAGTCTACGTAAGTCTTTATCTGACACCATCCCTAATTTTGAACTACTGATCACAAGGATGGCAGCCAGTCAGCAGCACCTTAACACACATCGTCCACGCTAAAGGATTGACTGTCACTCTTATAACACACCCACAGTTGTATGTCTGGAGAATATTTTGCGATATCGCATGAATGAAGGAATGAAATTCGTTGGAATACTGATGAAAGTGAAACTTAGTATAATGAAATGACTTTAATAAAAAAAAAGGCATATAGGTTATAAGATAAGGCATCAGTGGGACAAAAATGATAGGTATCTTACCTGAAAATAATTTAGGACAGTGTTTTTTACAGTGGCTGTGCTATATGGCACTGATAAGTAGTTGTCTTCTGCATTCAGCACTGTTTTAACCGCCTTCAGAGATATCCAGAAAGCTAGAGAAAAAACAGAATCGTTTTATTTTGATTTGTCTAACAAAAAGTACAATGTGGGAAAAGTTACTTTATTCTAAGTCATGATTGTTTATATAATAGTATGTTGAATATTTTTTAAATGATCTATCTATCTATCGTAAAACAAACCACCATTACGATACTTTCTCGCTCGTATTCGCACTTAATCTTTGCTGTTGAGGGATTGTGGTTCTGTATATGTATATCATAGCCTGGCATGGCCTGGTGGTTAGGGCGCTGAACTCGCAACCTGCGGCTTGCGAGTTCGAATCCCTTTCACCGAGCATGCTTACCCTTTAAGGCGTGATGGCGTTATAATGTGACGGTCAATCCCACTATTTGTTGGTAAAAGAGTAACCCAAGAGTTTACGGTGGGTGGTGTTAACTGGCTGACTTCTCTCTAGTCTATCACTGCTAAATTAAGAACGGCTAGCGCAGATAACCCTCTAATATCTTAGCGCAAAATCCACTCCCCCTCCCAAAAAAAACAAACATAAAACGCTGTACATAATAATTCACTTAAAGTGCTCGAATGTGCTTAAAAAAGTCTTCCAATATATATCAAGTTTTAGATTGTGACTCGACAAAAATAAGAAACATAGCATTGATTTCATGATGGTTCACTCAGAAGGATATTAGTACGGTTAGCATAGATTTCATGATGGTTCACTCAGAAGGATATTAGTACGGTTAGCATAGATTTCATGATGGTTCACACAGAATAATATTAGTACGGTTAGCATTGATTTGATGATGATTCACACAGAAGGATATTAGTACGGTTAGCATTGATTTCATTATGGTTCACAGAAGGATATTAGTACGGTTAGCATTGATTTCATGATGCTTCACACAGAAGGATATTAGTACGATTAGCATTGATTTCATTATGGTTCACGCAGAAGGATATTAGTACGGTTAGCATTGATTTCATTTATCGTGAGTTCGATTTTAAAAAAAACTATTCGTTCATCTTTTCAGTTGGTTTTGCTATGGAGACTCGGGTGTGTCAGCACCCGAACAGATGTTAAGGAGGCCAGAAGAAACTGCCTTCAGATCTAGCCAACAACTCACAAATGGTAATTTGAAGTTCCTTTAAATCACTCATATGCCCTTAACTCAAATACAATAGAATAAATTAATACATTAAAAATTTATTGTAAGAATAAAATAACAGTGTTAAGAAAACGCACTACATATTTTAAACCTGAACAGCACCTTATGTGACACATGGACCAAACAGAAAGGTGCAACGGCATACACAGTCCAATACGCTAACTCTGGGCTACGAATGAAAAACAAATTTAAGAATTGTCACAAAATAGTTACTATTATATTTTAATAACAATTGATTTTTGTTTGTTCGTACGTTTTTTTTTGTTTTTTTTTGCTTATTTTTCCCTAGCGGTAGTTAATTGTAACTATAAATCAAGAAGAAGAGTCTAATCTTAGGATTTTATACTGCAAAATCAATTAGACTTATAAAGCTTTTGGGAGTCAAAGGTTTCACCATCTGCATCACATGGTAGAATAACAGCATTCAAATGGGATTATTTTTATCAACTAAAATTAAAAACTTCTCACCTGATGCTTCGTCACCTAGCAGGTGTCCCCACCCCCCACAGCGAGCAGATGATCCATCCGGGTTCACCACCAGAGCGTTCGAGCCTGTCCCTGCTATTAGTACTAGTCCTCCTGCAGGGGAAGAGGCTTGGTTAGATCGATCACTTCCACGTACTGATGGTCAACAAATTACTAATATGTTTGGTATCGTGAAGTATCACAAAACGATCATGAGCTATTTAGCTGACCGGTAGTATGTAATGTTATAGGTCAAAGTCATAAGCTAATACGTTGACTGACAGAGAGAAATATCACGGGCAACATTTTACTTAAACAAGAGTAGACGTTTTACAAACTAGCACCAAATGTACTAACATATTTTCATTATGTGGTCTATATGTTGTAGTATAATTACATTTTCTGACCAAACTTTAAGCCACATCACATACCGTTCACTATAATTGGGATACATATTAGGTAATTTTGTGTTGTGGGCTGTCACGTCATTAATCTAAAGAAATTACTAAATTAAAAATGCAAAGTAAACTCAGCAGTAATCAATGGGATTAATTTCAATAAAGACGGAATTTTTTTTTACCATCTCTTATGTTATTAGAAATCCTGTAGTTAAACAAGTTTTGGACCCATAAGCAGTTTAGAAAAATGAGTTTTAAGATATAATATGGACCCATCGTTTAGTTTAGGTTAATGTTAAATATTCAGTATATATTCACAAATAGTCACTATGGCGTTCTGTTAGACCTAAAATAACACGTCATTTCCGTACACAGATCAAACCCATTAGTAAGATCTTACGAGTTAACAGTCTTCTTCAGGTGTGGTCATAAACTTTGTTCAATAGTCTGCATAAATACGTCGGTTTGCACCTAAAAATCAGAGTGTCGTATATAGTAACTAGCAGAAACACCTCCTTACAGGCCTCCAGGGCTGACGAGAGGGGGGGACAAGGGGTTCAGCTGTCCAGGGGCCCGGGGTCTGCTGAGGGGCCCAGCAGTGGGATATTCCTAAGCTCACTAGAAATGCATACTACTTTGTGAGTTTAAATGGCTACTGCTTTTTCGTGGATTCATGAAGAAATTTGTCAACTAAATTTTTTAATGAAAAATCAGCAAAAGTTAATAAATAGAATGAAAGGGGGGGGGGCGATGATATTACTGACCCCGGCTCTGACGCCCCTGCCTATGGACTACTATTTTACAAACGAATAGTGGGATTCACTATAACTTTATAACGCCCCCCTCCCCCCCCCCCGGCTGAAAGAGCGAGTATGTTTGGTGGAACGGAGCTTCGAAATCGCGACCCTCAGATTGCGAGTCAAGCGTCCTAACACCTGGCCATGCCGGGCCCTGATATAATCAAACCCTCACGTACAGTCCTAATGAAAGTCGTGTTATTGTGGTGAAGAGAGTACTTTTATTTACAATTATGTTCTGTGATAAATAAATGGGTGTTGCATATATACCGTAGTTATTTTATAATTGTCTAAGTCTTCAATATCCAAAATGTGAATTTTTATGGACTTTTTTTGTGGTGCCATTCACTAGATGGCGCCACAATGTATTTATGATTTTGGTCACATACATAGATAGATAGATACATACATACACGCTATATCCATTATAGTAAGAATATGCATAGATGTAAGCAACAATGTGCATGAACGGTCGAAAGTGGCCGAAGAGAGCGCATGCTGGGCAAAGAAACATGATCGAGTAAAGACTGCTGTCACTACAGTCGTTATCAAAGAGTGACTTTACATAAAATTCAGCATGACCTAGGTATAACAAGTATTTGACATAATTAGGTTTATTATAGGTTTATACCTCACTTGTGTACGAAAAGTTGAAAGAACTGCAAGCGAGTTGAGGTAATTTTGAGATCTAATGACGTCCTGTATTCATAGTAATATTTACAATAATATTATTGCCATTTTATTAGGCTAGTTCAACGTTGAAGATGAATGAAGAAAGTATTCTTTATACTTGAATGTGAATGACAAACCTCCATAAACTTAGGCGTAGAAGTTATATATTTGAATAAATGATTATCACAGTTTCATATTTTTCTGTTCTTATCTCTTTTACTGTACAGGGTTGAATACCTTTTATCAAAAATATTTTAGATATGCATAATAACCAAGTCACGTTAAATGGGTAGAATGAGGCTACCGAAAATCTATCGTTTATGGAAACAGTATGTACAGCCCTTTACGACGCAAAATATTTACACATTCAGATCATGGAAATGTGTTCAGATCGTGGATTTATAATTTCCAATATGGGGATATACCTTGTACGTAATGGCATTGGAAAACTCAGAAATATGAATGAACGAACTTGGGACCATCTAGAAAGACCTGCAACAAGTCGTATTCTAGTCGTGGTAAGTAAAGTGCGGCATTTTGTAATAAGTTAGAATTCACGAACATAAAGGCAAAATCCGACCCAGGCAACACTACGCAACATAATCAAGAAGAATCTACATCTAGCAACAAGGCCAATAGGGTATAGGTTCAACCATTACAAAACTCAACTAACTGGAAAATGAAACGGGTAATCATGCTATTCCATACGAAAACATACTGCTCAAGTTTCCGAATGCGGCATCTACAGACTTCTGTGTAATTGGTTTGTTAAAACGTGCGCTGGGAAACTTTATCCTCGTACACTAGATGTATTGTGGAAAGCTTGTAGAGAGGAGTGGTCTGTCTTAAACATGACAACCTTAAGACAGAGATTTTTGAAATGAAAAAAAACACTGTAGGGTTATTGTCAAGAAGCATGTTGTCAGATGCAGCATGATTAGCCGTGGCGACATGGACTGTAATATGGGGTAAGGCTCCAAAATAGTTATTAATATAACGTATTCAATCCTCTGTTTATTTAAAACGTCTTTTCTCTTAGCATGTGTTTTTCAGGAAACTGTCGAAAAGGACAGGATTTTATGACTTCATAAAAATTATGCAAAATAATTGGTGGAAGGGCTTATGGATTTTGTTTAATGTAATACCTAGTTAAGAATTAAGAAAGATTCGTATTATCTCGTTTCTAAAAAGACAATCGTTATATTCAATTAAGTATTAGAAAGAACTGTGTTTTTTTTAATTCACACAAGGTTTTGTCGGTTGTACATAGTAAAACTGAGCCTTGATTCTCGTATCTCACCTAATGATGCCGGGTAAACCTTATGAAACGTTGTGAATAAAATAGACAAGAGTTTTACTATGTACAAACGATAAAAAAAAACTTGAGTGAATCATTATGTTGAAGATGGCCGGTTCCTTGGACCAATCCAGCGCTTTGGATTAAAATTTAAGCTTTTTCATTAGGACTCAATTCAATTACTTTTTAATTAGCTGCTTTAAAACACGATTATGTAAATATGCAGGCAATGTATCTCCACTGGATCATCATAGACAAACATTTTGTTGAAAAAATAAAATCCCAAAAACGTAAATTCATTTTTTTTTCGAGTGTCAGAACTAAAATGTAGCTTTTGCAGTAAAATTACTCTATAGTTTCATATATAATTTACAGAGTTCATTTTTTGGCTGAGTAAGTATTATATATAATAATTGAGTTACAAATACACACAATAATCAAGAATGAAATGTAATGTTTTTAGAATTACAAGAGTATATACAAGATACACGTTCTAGGTCCAATTTTATAAATAAAATAAACTACTGAGTAATTTTTTATAATAAATTCCATTACTGTGTGTGTGTGGTTAAGTTTAAACACGTTTGTATTAAAATTGATAAAGTTTTCCTTATAGGTGGAGCTAGCAGTAGGATTTCTTACGAGAATATTTTGATGATGCACATAAGAACATTATAAAGTTGGTTCAGTTTAAAAACGCTCAACAAAAGAATCTTAATTGTATGGTTTTGATCAACTTTTGTGAAATCAACTATAATACTTTGTGCACTTAACTCAATATTTATAACTGATTGTTTGCTTTGGCGCAAAGCTACACAATATATAGCTCATCTGCGCTCTGTCCACCTCGGGGGAACCGAACCTCGGAGTTTACCATTATAAGTTCGTAATCTTACTGCTGAATCACTGGGGACATTTCTTTTTAGCTCAACGTTCACTTGTCTGAGATTTCTAGCAGATATAATATATATATATATATATTTGATGATTTAATTTCGCACAGAAATATTTGAAGATATCGTTTTCTTACGATTTCGACGCCTTTGTTTGTTTTGTCAAATGAATCCATTTTAAACAATAATGCATGTGCTTAGAGAAACATGTATATTTGAATATTCAGTGGATTTTATCTCGTACTTTTTGAGAGGAGTGAATGAATATATCAACCTTTGATAGAGAAAACTATAACGCGGCCGACACGACACGCGTAACTTCTCTCGACAGAGTTCACCAACTTTTACAAGTGGCTGGTTGAAATATTTCACCGTGAGAAATATTCGGTTAACGCCCTTTCATTAAGAGCTTGTCATTGGATACTGGCGTCCTAGATTCCAATCGCTTTCGGAGATTTTGAAACATGAGTGGTCAATGTAACTGTTTTCAAACATTGGTTACGCAAGCCTGATGTTTAGAAGTCTCACGCAGAAAACAGAGTTAAAGTCGTCATGTGGGATAAAACATTGTAATACTTTCCAAAAAAACTTAAACTTTTATCATTCACAAAACAATTTAATATTTATATGAGATGATCACATTTCCGTTCCTACAACAGAGCCTCCCACACCACCACCCGTCCGTGTCTCAGTACCAAGTCTACAGGCTTTCAACGCTAAAAATCGGGTATCGATACCTGGGTCGGGCAACGTATAGATAGCCCACTGTGTAGCTTCCTACCACTTAGAACTAGAGTAATATAACGATCCACGGTGCTATATTTCCTGAAAACGGTCAAAAGCACATAGTATATTCAAATCACCAATCGGATAATGAATTCACTTCCGTTCCTACACAGCTTATGATATCCATATGTTGTGCTTGTTTAACACCCGTTTCTCACTCTCCATCTTGTGTTATTTATAATTTCTGATAATATTTGATGCGTTAAAGTTCCGCAATAGTGACGGCCTGTGCTGTCCATATTTCTTGTTTTTGATAGGTCATTGCTCTCTTTTTAAATTTCTAGTGTTTCATTCACGTGCCGAGTTATACCATATCTCTTTTTTTTTCTTCAAATACCAATGTCTTTAAATTGCTTAGAAACCTTATCTAACGTAGTAGTAACAACTGTAAAATCGCAACTTGATACGGCCAAAGGAATAAAAATAATAGTTCTCTGTAGTACTTAAAGCTACATGAACCCCAATTTTTAGCGTAAGTAGCCCTCAAATTTACTGCTTAGCCACCAGTGGGTACATGAAATAAAAACTAATATAAAGTAAAAAAAAAAGTGATTAGCTTGCCTTGTTTTGGGAACTGTGTGTACTGAAAATATGTAAAGAAACCAACGACATTAATCATCTTTAAAATTCGCATTCATCAATCTAGCTTGCAACAAGCCACTTAAAATTGAACACGTATATCAAAAACTTCTTCTATAAATCTAAGATGAATAGTAAGATTTAAAATTCTGTCAAAAAAAACCCAACAAAAAACACCATTTTTGTTTTAACCTTCCGCATGGTCGAATTAATAGTCTTTAAAACAAAATAAAATCACGTCATGTACGAATTATTGGTTTGTATGTGTACCATTTTTAGAATGTTTCAAATATTATGTTAAGGGTTTGTTTGCTTGTAATTCAGCACAAAGCTACACAATGGGCTATCTGTGATCTGCCCACCACGGATATCGAAACCCGGTTTCTAGCATTGTAAGTCTGCAGACAATATCGCTGTGCCACTGGAGGGCGATGTTAAGGGTATGGGTGTCTACGGCGTGTAATATAAGCCTTTAGAAAATCAACATTGTTTAAACTGAGGACTATTGAACAAAAATATAACGTTCAACTGAAGAGTGCATGTTGCTATAAATGCAAAATGGAGAAGGGGCACTGAATTTTATAGAAGCTGTTTTGGGACTCCTACAGGGGTGTACCAGATTGACAAAGTGAGGTTTAAAGCTAAAATGTGTCTCAATATCCCCGGAAACCGGATTTCGATCCTTGTAGTAAACATCACATAGCTAGCTTATTGTTTAGTTCTGTGCCTAACAACAAACAAAAACTTACAACTAAAAAAATGAATCAATTAAGTCAAAATATATATATTTGAAACAAAAACATAATAAATATGACTTACAGAGTAGCTTATTAGTCTTAATAAAAAAAAGTACTCGTTTAAAAATCCACATCTGTCATAAGAAAACTTAACCTAGATGTGTCAAAATTATCTTTAAACAAATTGGAAAACGAAACATGTGGACAGAATAAGGCCATTTTTACGTAAGCTTTAAGCTTACTAGGTCATTTGTTGAGTTATAAACTGAAAGTACGCCCCCTCGGTACCCTTTTTTACATTTGTTTTACGTCGAACTGTAAAAAAAAAAAAGTAGAGGTACTGCCCACGTAGACAAACTGTAAATCATTCGTCTCTTCACTGACAAGATTAGTTTGTTTGAATTTCACACAAAGCTACCGAGGACTATCTGCGCTAGCCGTTCCTAATTTAGCACTGAAAAACTAGAGGGAAGGCAGCTAGTAATCACCACCCACCGCCAACTCTTGGGCTACTCTTTTACCAACGAATAGTGGGATTGATCGTTACAAATAACGCCCACACGGCTGAAAGGGCGAACCTGTTTGATGGGATGGGGATTTGAACTCGTGATCCTCAGATTGCGAGTCGAACGTCCAAACCACCTGGCCAATAAAACGGCCATTCTTGTCGGTGAATTGCTAAGACTGGATTTTGGCTTGGTACACGACTTTAAAATATCTTCATGTTGTTGTTTTTTTTTGTTGTTGTTGTTGTTGTCAGCGTTTTGGTTAAATTTTAGAACAGCAAGTCTATGGACAAAATACAATATTTTAGAAACACAAAGTTCCAATATTTCCTTTGATAAATTACAACGGTTGCTGAGTTGCAACATTTTAATGCCAAAATTTACCCACAATTTATATCACAAATTGGCTAAATTACAGTACATGTAAACAAACAAATATTTTGAAATCATTGTTTTGATGTGGTTTTATAGCAGCAATATCATTTTTTGAGCCAGTAGTTAACCATCTATGGACGATGTCTTAAAATTTACTTATATTCAAGAGAATCCTCAGTAGCGCGTTTCCCAAGAATATTATTATTTTGAAATTAAGATAGTTTCAATTCAACGGCAGTACAAAACGCACCATTACTTACCTTTTGGACTAGCAGTTAGGCCTGACCCAACGGCATCACTAGCAACTATGACAGTCTTTGCCAGGTTTGGATAGCGACTGCTTAAATCTTCCTCCAACGCTCTGTTCATGTCCTCCTGTTCACAACCACTCAAGCTCAAGCCCTGCAAGGTATACAGAGATGAAGGTCAGGGGAACGATATCCATCTAGAATTAGCTAGCTTGTAAAACATAACTCAGAAAATAAATGTGTGTAAATGAATGGTGTTTACTTTCACTCCATGGAAAAGGATCATTTCGAAATTAAGTTAATGGCGATGAGATCAAAACATCTTGCTTATCTTGTATTTCTTTTGCTGCGGATGTTGCCTTCCCAAAACGCAAGCATCCTTAATATTCCAGATGTTCTATCTCCCGTTTTACCGTTTCTGACGAAGATATTTTTATTATTATAAAGCTCTTTTATGAACTTATAGAAGGTTAACCATACTTTATTTGAATGATGTAATACAGTAGTGTCTCGCCACAGATGCGAGCCATGGCGCCCCAAGGGACATGTTTAACACCCGAATATTTGGTTCCCCATCATGCAACAGTGAAGTAGTTCCAAGGACAGCACGGGAACAGAACATCCTTCTTGTAAAGCGCGATTAACCTCATTATAGTCGTTTCATGAACTATTTTACTCCCAATAAAGATAAGCGCAATAAAAGATCTGGGTAGACGAACATTTAGTCTTAACGTTTAGAGTTTATCCAGAAATAAAATCACACACGCATTAAAAAAAAAAAGAAGGCAACAATAAAAGTACAAACGACATAGAAAGGTTGAAAAATATGTGTTACGAGGCAAAATAATTTTTTGAAATGTATTTTTCATCGAAATTCACATACGTTTTGTTGACATATTGTCGTTCAAATACGTATATGTTTTACTTAGTTAATGCCATTGAAATACCTATACATGATTTATTTGGTTAATTGTCGTTGAAATAACGATATGTTTAATTTCATTAATGTCGTTGAACTGCCTATATATGTTTTATTTGGTTAATGTCGTTGAAATACCTTTATATGATTTATTTGGTTAATGTCGTCGAAATACCTATATATATGATTTATTTGGTTAATGTCGTTGAAATGCCTATATATGTTTTATTTGGTTCATGTTGTTGAAATACCTATATATGATTTATTTTGTTAATGTCGTTGAAATATCGATATGTTTAATTTGGTTAATGTCGTTGAAATACCTATATATATATGTTTTATTTGGTTAATGTCGTTGAAATACCTATATGTTTAATTTGGTTAATGTCGTTGAAATACCTATATATATATGTTTTATTTGGTTAATGTCGTTGAAATACCTATATATGATTTATTTGGTTAATGTCGTTGAAATACCTATATATATGGTTTATTTTGTTAATGTCGTTGAAATGCCTATATATGTTGTTTTTTTTTGTTAATGTCGTTGAAATACCTATATATGATTTATTTGGTTCATGTCGTTGCAGTACCTATAGGTTTTGTTCGTTAGTGACGTTGAAATGTCTATATATGATTTATTTGGTTCATGTCGTTGCAGTACCTATGGGTTTTATTCGTTAGTGACGTTAAAATGTCTATATATGATTTATTTTGTTAATGTCGTTGAAATATCGATATGTTTAAGTTGGTTAATGTCGTTAAAATATTGGTATGTTTTATTTAGTTAACGTAATTTGGCAAATACGTTAATATCTTCCGGGGTAATACAAATGAAGGTTGCCATAGATACGAAGCCGTCGTTATTTTCGGTAAACTTCGTTCACACATACAAAGGAAACTATTAAAGATACTTTGGGAAAAACATGAACAAATTTAGCGTTTTAGAAAAGAGCAAGTTGTAACTTACCAAAGCTGAGAATCGTATATCTTCATTTAAGCCTAATTCTTCTTTCGCTCTGTCTACCATCCACTTGATTCTAGCTTGACATTCACTTAACCCAATCAACTAGACAGAAAAAACGAAAAAGAAAACGGAATTATTTTTTAATTCAAATATCTAAATCTCAAGTTAAAGTAATCCAATGTAGCGATGTTAATATTATTCAACCTGTCAAGATACCATGAATATCGTCCATATTTAATCGTTTTCAGGAATACGCATGTACACACAAACACACAAATCAACCTCTTATTTTGAAAGCTACTAAAAATTATCAATATATCTTTATATGAGACAGAAACAACAACAAAAACACAAGGTAAAATTGAAAAGAGAATCTGTGATGTCGAGGCCTAATGCATTCCTTGTGTAGTTTTGCGCTTAACAACAATGAAACAAACGTTTGTTTTATTGTTATGCTGCAATGTAGTTTATAAATGCACGATCGTGGAGTATTATTACGAGTATCCTGTAATACTCCCACAATTCAGCCAGATTTTGGTCGTTTTTCGATCTTCTCAATGTTTATGTAAGTCCATATAGCCTCAAGAATATTGGGACTTTGTGCACGCCAAGCGATTGTTGTGAGTGTGCCGCCAGTCATTTTTCATCTTCAGTATATCATTTCACTACCTTTGCTATATGCTTGGGGTCATCGTTTTACTGGAAGATGAATTCTCGCCCGGTGAGTCGTGTTCTTGAGTGGATAGCACGATAGATCAGAATTTGCCTATACTAGTCAGCAGTCAGAGCGCCGTCACTGTTGTGTGAACCACCAACACCGTTTGCTGTGGTAAGTCTAATATTTGTACTGATATCTCACCATACTTCATTGTAAATGTTGTACAACCGTCTGATAGACTGTCCTTCATTGTTGTTGAGCGTTTCGGTCTTGGATTCATGTGTAAATATCATGTCTCCAACTTTACTTATTCCACTGTATGAGGTCCAATGTCCATTTCAACCTTTTGAATATTTCTTCTTAGCAGTGGTTTTCGAGTAGCCATACATGTCTATTTAGACCATTTATTGTTATTGTAAAAAATGTTACTGATGATTTTTTCAATTTTTAGGGAGTCCCCCCAGGAGCTCAGCGGTAAATCAACAGACTTATAAAGCTAAAAACCCGATTTCGATACCAATAGTGGGCAGAACACAGACAACCCAGTGGGTAACTTTGCGCTGAACAACAACCAAATATAAACTCATTTTTAGAGATTAGTTTAAAAAAACTCAATATTTAATACAGAAATACTTAAGAGCATTGAGCAAAATGTTGATAAATTATTTGAATCGCTCATTGAGCTTCCTAAACAATAAAACAAAAATTAAAGATATACACGTTGAAACATTATAAAATACGTAAAATAAAAATTGCGATATGCTATTCAGAAAGTAAAGATACAAATATTCGGCTTGTATGACGAATTAAATCATGTACATTTAATCTTACGTATAAAAGAAACATCAGAAACTATAAAAATAACCTGTATAGCGAATTCCATGAGATGCGTAAAATCCTTACTCAAAGCATACTTTCCTTCCGGACTGGAGTAATTTACATAATAGTCCTGCCTTTGAATATTAAGAATACTGTTAATTGTCAATGTCTCCTATTACTATACCATTTAACATCCAATCTAAGATCTGTACATATCACAAGAATCACCTAAGTTGAGAGTGCTAAACCTGAAAAAAAGTGAAAACGGTACATCATGACATTGAAATATTTCCCACTTACCAGGTGATTTGTTGATGGTCCCTCAACCAGCGCCAACAGCCGTCCGTCGCCACTAACCACCACCAGTTGTGATAAGGAAGCCCCGCTGAATGTTTCACAAAACATTTTACAAAACAAAGATTTAAATACAATGGTAAATAAACACAATTCGTCTAAAAAAAAAAAAAAAAGAA